TATATATATATATATATATATATATATATATACACACACACACATGTATGTGTATGTATATGTATGTATGTATGTATGTACATATGTACTATGTAGGGCGGCTGTAGCTGAGTGGTTAGAGCAGTCGTCCTCCAATGCAAGAGTTGGGGGTTTGAATCCACCAGCAGTCACATGCCGAAGTGTCCCTGGGCAAGACACTGAACCCTTTGCCTCTGATGTGTGTCCCATCAGTGTCTGAATGTGATAAAGCTCTGATTAGTCTCTTTAGAATGATTTGTTCAATCATCTTTGTACAGATCTAGTATAGAGCTGTATGAATGGGTAAATGAGGCACAGATTGTTGTAAAGAGCTTTGAGTGTCTTGAAATAAGATAGAAAGGTGATATATAAGTACAGTTCATTTACTTTATATGCCGTACATGTTCATGGATGTGATTAATCAAAATCAGTTAATTATGAACGTCAGAGCTCTTTCTTCAGAAAATCCACACGTCACATTTCAGGATCTGGTTATTATAGACACAGATTAAATGTTCAATATGAATATTTCTATACTCATCACCACAGTAATATTAGTAATAGTAATATTAATATTGTTACACAGTAATAGTAATATTGTTACACATGTTAGTAGATGTAAACACTAAAATAATTGATGATTTTTGTGCTCACATTTAACCTAAATATTTAAGGAGTAAACATTTTTAATAATCATGTTAAAAGTTATAAATGTTGTCTTTGGTGTCTGTTAGTTTTCTAAATATGTAAGTGTGTGTGAATGACATCAACTTCAAACACTTTGTAGAACGGTGCTTTACGAAGTTCAGTCCGTTTTCTTGTAATATTTGACCGACAGATCTGCCACATTCAATATGGCGTAGACGTACGATTCAGTGCTTGACGAGGCGTCTATATATTTATGTCTATGATTCAGACCATCAGTTGTTGATGTCCTTACAGAGATGAAGGTTCTCCTCTTCCTCCCTCAGTCTGGTTCTGTTCGACCTCTTCGTCAACATCTTGGTCCATAACCTGGCTGAGCCGGCCTACGAGGCCGACGTGGCTCAGCTGGAGTACAAGCTGGTGGCCGGAGCGCACGGACTGCTGATCCGGCTGAAGGGCTTCAACCACAAGCTGCCAGTGAGGATTCGTGCACTGCCACACACACACGCACACACACACACACACACACACACACACACACACACACACACACAC